GAAAAGGAATGAACAAAGCCTCCAAGAAATACAGGACAATGTGAAAAGACCAAACCCACATTTGATTGGTGTACCTGAAAGTGATGGACAGAATGGAACCAAGTTGGAAAACACTCTTTAGGATATTATCCAGGAGAACTTCCCAACCTAGCAAGACAGACCAACATTCAAATTTAAGAAATACAGAGAACACCACAGATACTCCTTGAGAAGAGCAACCAGAAGACACATAATTGTCAGAATCACCAAGGTTGAAATGAAGGAAAAAATGGTAAGGGCAGCCAGAGAGAAAGTTCTGATTACCCACAAAGGGAAACCCTTCAGACTAATAGCAGATCTCTCAGCAGAAACCCTACAAGCCAGAAGAGACTGGGGCTAATATTCAACATTCTTAAAGAAAAAATTTCTACCCAGAATTTCATATGCAGCCAAACTAAGCTTCATAAGTGAAGGAGAAATATCATTTACAGACAAGCAAATGCTGAGATAATTTTGTCACCACCAGGCTGCCTTACAAGAGCTCCTGAAGGAAGCACTAAATATGGAAAGGAAAGACTTATACCAACCACTGCAAAAACATACCAAAATGTAAAGCCCATTGACATTTTGAAAAAACTGCATCAACTAATGGGCAAAATAAGCTAGCATCATAATGGCAGGATCAAATTCCCACATAACAATATTAGCCTAAATGTAAATGGGCTAAATGCCCCAAGATCCATTGGAGTGCTGTATTCAGGAGACCCATCTCATGTGCAAAGACACACATAGGCTCAAAATACAGGGATGGAGGAATATTTACCAAGCAAATGGAAAGCAAAAAAAGCAGGGGTTGCAATCCTGATAAATCAGACTTTAAACCAACAATGATCTAAAAAGACAAAAAAGGGCATTATATAATGGCAAAGGGATCAATGCAACAAGAAGACCTAACTATCCTAAATATATATGTACCCAATACGGGAGCACCCAGATTCATAAAGCAAGTTCTTAGAGACCTACAAAGAGACACAATAATAGTGGGAGACTTTAACACCCCACGGTCCATATTAGACAGATCAATGAGACAGAAAATTAACAAGTATATTCAGAAACAGAAATCAGCTCTGGATCAAGAAGACCTAATAGGAATGTATAGAATTCTCCACCCCAAATCAACAGAATATACATTCTTCTCAGCACCACATAGCACTTATTCTAAAATTGACCACATAATTGAAAGTAAAACACTCCTCAGTGAATGCAAAATAAGGGAAATCACAACAAACAGTCTCTCAAACCACAGTGCAATCAAATTAGAATTTAGGATTAAGAAACTCACTCAAAACCACATCAATACATGGAAACTGAACAACCTGCTCCTGAATGCCTCCAGGGTAAATAATAAAATGAAGGCAGAAGTCAATAAGTTCTTTGAAATCAATGAGAACAAAGACGTAACATACTATAATCTCTAGGACACAGCTAAAGCAGTATTTAGAGGAAAATTTATAGTACTAAATCCCCACAGGAAAAAGCAGGAAAGATCTAAAATCAACATCCTATTATCACAATTAAAAGAACTAGAGAAGCAACAGCAAACAAATTCAAAAGCTAGCAGAAGACAAGAAATAACTAAGATCAGAGCAGAACTAAAGAAGACAGAGACACAAAAAACTCTTCAAAAAACCCAGGAGCTGGTTTTTTTAAAAGATTAACAAAATAGATAGACACTACTTAGATTAATAAAGAAGAAAAGATAGAAGAATCAGATAGACACAATAAAAAAATGATAAAAGGGATATTACCACTGATCCCACAGAAATACAAACTACCATCAGATAATACTATAAATATCTCTATGAAAATAAACTAGAAAATATAGAAAAAATATATATAAATTCCTGGATACATCCACCCTCCCAAGACTAAACCAGAAAGAAGTCAAATCCCTGAATAGACCAATAACAAGTTCTGGAATTGAGGCAGTAATTAATGGCCAACCAATTAAAAAAAAAAAAAAAGCCCAGGACCAGGTGGATTCATAGCCAAATTCTACTAGAGGTACAGAGAGGAGCTGGTACCATTCCTTCTGAAACTATTCCAAACAATTGAGAAGGTGGAACTCCTCCCTAACTCATTTTATGAGGTCAGCATCATCTTGATACCAAAACCCAGCAGAGACAACAAACAAGAAAATTTCAGGACAATATCCTTCATGAATATCGACATGAAAATCCTCAATGAAATAGTGGCAAAACAAATCTAGCAGCATCTCAAAAAGCTTACCCACCACAATCAAGTCAGGTTTGTCCCTGGGATGCAAGGCTGCTTTGACACACACAAATCAGTAAATGTAATCCATCACATGAACAGAACCAATGACAAAAACCACATGATTATCTCAATAGATGCAGAAAAGTCCTTTGATAAAATTCAACATATATTCATGCTAAAACCTCTAAAAAAACAAGGTATTTATGGAACATATCTCAATATAATAAGAGCTGTTTATAATAAACTCACAGCCAATATCATACTAAATAGGCAAAAGCTGGAAGCATTCCCTCTGAAAATCGGTACAAGACAAAGATGCCCTCTCTCATCACTCCTATTGGAAGTTCTGGCCAGGGCAATCAGGCAACAGAAAGAAATAAAGGATATTTAAATAGATAGGGAGGAAGGCAACTGTCCTGATTGCTGATAACATGATTGTATATGTAGAAAACCTCATTGTCTCAGCTCAAAATCTTTTTAAGCTGATAAGCAAATTCAGCAAAGTCTCAAGATACAAAATCAATGTGCAAAAATCACAAGCATTCCTATACACCGATAACAGATGAACAGAGAGTCAAATCATGAGTGAACTCTCATTCACAACTGCTACAAAGAGAATAAAATACCTAGGAATACAACTTACAAGGGAGGTGAAGGACCTCTTTAAGGAGAACTACAAACCACTGCACAAGGAAATAAGAGAGGACACAAACAAATGGAAACATTACATGCTCATGGATAGGAAGAATTAATATGGTGAAAATGGCCACACTACCAAAAGTAATTTACAGATTCAGTGCTATCCCCATCAAGCGATCATTGTCTTTCTTTACAGAATTAGAAAAAAACTACTTGAAATTTCATATGGAACCAAAAAAGAGCTTGTATAGCCAAGAAAATCCTCAGCAAAAACAACGCAACTGGAGGCATCTCACTACCTGACTTCAAACTATACTACAAGGCTACAGTAACCAAAACACCATGGTACTGGTACCAAAACAGATATACAGACAAATGCAACAGAACAGAGACCTTGGAAATAATGCCAAACATCTACAACCATCTGATCTTTGACAAACCTGAAAAAAACAAGCAATCAGAAGAGGATTTTCTATTTAATAAACGGTGTTAGGAAGACTGGCTAGTCATATGCAGAAAACAGAAATTGGACCCCTTTCTTACACCTTACACAAAAATTAACTCAAGATGGATTAAATGTAAGATCTAAAACCATAAAAACTCTAGAAGAAAATATAGGCAATACCATTCAGGAAATAGGCATGGGCAAAGACTTCATGACTAAAACACCAAAAGGAATAGCAGCAGAAAGCAAAATTGACAAATGAGATATAATTAAACTAAAGAGCTTCTGCACAGCAAAAGATACGGTCATCACAGTGAACAGGCAACCTACAGAATAGGAGAAAATTTTTGCAATCTATCCATCTGACAAAGGGCTAATATCCAGAATCAACAAAGAGCTTAAATAAATTTACAAGAATTAAACAAACAACCCCATCAAAAAGTGGGCAAAGAATGTGAATGATACTTCTCAGAAGAATACATTTATGCAGCCAAAAAACATATGGGAAAAAAAAGCTCATTATCACTAGTCATTAGAGAAATGCAAATCAAAACCACAACAGATACCATCTCATGCTAGTTAGAATGGTGATCATTAAAAAGTCAGGAAATAACAGATGCTGGAGAGGATGTGGAGAAATAGGAATGCTTTAACATTGTTGGTGGGAGTGTAAATTAGTTCAATCATTGTGGAAGACAGTGTAGTGATTCCTCAAGGACCTAGAACCAGAAATACCATTTGACCCAGCAATCCTGTTACTGGGTATATGCCCAAAGGATTATAAATCATCCTACTATAAAGACACATGCACACGTATGTTTATTGCAGCACTGTTCACAATAGCAAAGATTGGAACCAACCCAAATGCCCATCAATGATAGACTGGATAAAGCAAATGTGGCACATATACACCATGGAATACTATGCAGCCATAAAAATGAGTTCATGTCCTCTTCAGGGACATGGATGAAACTGGAAACCATCATTCTCAGCAAACTAACACAGAAACAGAAAACCAAACACCACGTGTTCCCACTCATAAGTGAGAGTTGAATAATGAGAACACCTGGACACAGGGAAGGGAACATGACACACTGGGGCCTGTTAGGGGTGGAGTTCCATGGAGGAATAATATCAGGAGAAATGCCTCATGCAGATGACAGGTTGAGGGGTGCAGCAAACCACCATGGCACGTGTATACCTATGTAACAAACCTGCATGTTCTGCACATGTACCCCAGAACTGAAAGTACAGTTTAATGTAAAACATCAGTGTTTTTGTAGTTCCTTGAGATTTGCAAATATCTTACTTTGAAACTAAATACATTATGTACAAATCAAAATGCATATAACAGATATTTTATTAATAGTAAATTTTATGAAGATCATTTTCTGTATTTATGAAGCCATGAAAAACATTCCTTAAGGGTTTAAGATGCTCTTTGTTATGGAAACTTTCTACTGCTAATTATTAAAAGTCAACTAAAGAAAACTTATGGTTATGGACATTAGAGCAGACTTACAATTATAAATATAGCAAGGTGAATTTTTCCCACTCGAAGCATGAGTAAGACATTTTGACGAGGAGTATTAAGTGTCTGGAATTCTGTGTTTCCACATAAAAACCACTGTATAAGTCTCAAATTCTATATTCATTTCAGGGAAAGACACGAAGGACAAGGAGAAGGAGGCTCAAACCAAGTCTGCCTATTATTAGGATGAAATGCATGATGTCGCTGACATTCAACCTCTGCTGAGCTGCAGAATCAACAGTTTCATCAAGTTCAGCCTATAAAGCCAATGTTCATTTCCCATCACTTTTTCAGCTGTTTTAGACCATGTTCCCACGGAGTTCTGCAGAAGCATCTACACTGCTACTCAAGAAGAGAGACGGGCTGATGCCATGCGGGAGGCAAACCCTGTGAGTAGGGCTCTAGTTACTTGTCATTGTTCCGACCAGATAAGCTCTGTTTTTATCTTTTTTATGCAGTGGAGCTCCCAGTAAACCATTGTGTAAAGAGAACGAGAATTACACTCCTAAATATGACACTGAAATATCACAGCTATATTCCAGTATCACAAAAAGATATTGAAATTGTATTATTAAAATGCAGAAGTGATCTTTTCTAATATCCATAATTGACAGAAGATGCTGAGACCCTGAAAGACTAATGCTTTCCCCAGGGCCACAGTGTGACTCCTTGACAAAGCCACGATGGAACCCAAGTCACTTCAAATCCAGTGTTGTCTTCAGTATACCATTTGCGAATATCACCGCCTTATAGTACTAGGACCCAAACCCTCCATTTTCTAGGCTACACTTCTGTAGTTCCATCGTATACACTCAAGTGCTATGCTCTCTAGACACCTCACCATCCTCATTTCCTCTACTTACGTTCCAATTTCACAAGGTTCCTCCTAATAAAAAGGACCCAGGATTCTATATAACACAACCTGATGTATTCGGACCCTTTCTAAGTACAGTGAGATGATGCCTCATTTTTTCTAGGCACAAACTTATCTTTTCTGTCATTTTATGGTAGAAATGCAAGTGTCAGATGCTACTCTCAGGGCTGTCTCCAAACTTCTGTCACTTTAGGAATTGAATGGACAAAGGCTACGAAATGCCACCTCAGAGTTAGTAAAATAAAACCATGAGAGCGAAATAGAGCATTCTGATTAGAAAGTGAACTGTATCATCCTAACAAAGCTCTGTAGGGAGTCCCAGTTACCCTGCTATAAAACACGGTTGATCCAAGCAGCCTGCAAGACAGAAATAGCAGGTCATTTTCTTAAAATAAGAAAACACTTCTTGTTTACTGCTTGTGAAATAACTTCTTCATGGGTGAAAAAATTCTCTTATCTTTAACTAACTATCAGAATGGAAGACAATAAGTTGTAAAGTCAAATTACAAAGTTTGTATGACGTGCAGGTGATGGAGAAATCACCTGACTACAGAAACTTACCTCTTTGTGAGAACATACTTTGTAAGTACTAATGTCAATATTCTAATGTAAGTCAAGGCCAGGATATCACTAACTGTCAGAAAGAATGAGAAAATTATTCTAAAGCATAAAATAATAATGACTTTACATATAATATCCAGGCAGCTATTATAGCAAATTTGAAGATAAATATATCCAAATCTTAAAAAAAAAAAAAAAAGATGCAATAACAAGAAGGGCCCAAGCCAGAAAATTTACTCAAAAAGATAGAAAAAGATTATTTAAAGATTTTTTAGATAACTTGAATAATCTTTTAATAAGATCATACAACACAATATACAGCAAGATACATTTCAGTAAGGAGTTTCATCAAATTACACACATTTTCCCCTGCAATTTGATCATGTGATGATATGTCCTTAAACTTTTAACTATTTTGATGTTATTTTGCCCATATGTGTAAAATTGAGATCAAACTGATTTTTTCTCCTCCACCAAAAATGCCAGTGCCATCTGGGTGAATACTCTTGCCTATACAGTCTTTGTGTAGGTTTTCCTTCTGATACATACATGATACATATACTTGTGTCTGCTTCATTACATACACTCGTGTTTCTTCCATTTTTAAATTTTCTTTCCTTAAATGCTTATCACATAATCTCAAAAGTGTTGTGTTAGGACATTGTCATAACTCCTTTTAGTCAAAAAGTTCTTGACCATTTCTGTGTGGTTATTTTTCACTGGATTTACTTTAGAATTTCTGTCCCCCCTAAAAATTTTTTTTTTACAATTTGATTGGAATTCTGTTTAACTTATCAATTAATTTGAGGAAAATTGTTCATTCTGACATTCTGAACCCCTATAATTTTCAAGACATTGTGCTAAGAACTTTACCAAAATGTGTGACAATGTATTCACAAGCCCCATGGGAAGTATCACTGTATCCCCACCACATGGATGGTAAAGTAGAGTCTTTAGAACTTTAAACAACTGCTAAGTAGAGGAGAGAGGATCCCAGCCTGGGTCACTTTGATTCCACACCCATGATCTTAATTATCATCATATACTACCTTCTTATCAATTATTATAATACATCTCTCCATCCATTCAAGAACCCCTTCCTACAGAAAAGTAAAATGTTATAGGTTTTCTTATGTGTCTTTACATTTCATGAGTTGACCTCTAAATACATTATGATTTTTTTCTTTTGCAACTGTGAATAAGATTGCCCTGTTGTTTTACCTAATTGGGTACTACACTGATAATAATTATCAATTTTGTATCATTTTATTAAATCCAGCCACTTTAATGAAGTTACTCAGTTCTAGGCTATCTATATTTTTAAAATTACATTATCTGCAATAGTGATTGTCTCAGTCTTTCAAAACACTCTAGTTTTATTGTTCCATGTTCAATTACATTGGCCTTCTAGAATACTATAACAGTAAATAATATAGTATAATATATACACTACATAATATAGTATAATAATATAGTATAAATAATTTAATGGCAATGAAAGGTCTTTTGTTCAACCATTAAGAATAATGCACCTCTTAGTTTCAAACAATTTTAAATTTATTGTTGTTAATTAATTGATTTTTTAACCAGAAATACATTCAATTTTATTAAATAACTTTCAGTACCTATTAAAAGTACTTTTTTCTTACTTAGTCTATTAATGTAAAGTAAATGCTTTCATATCAAGCCATCCTTGCATGTTTTAATACAAATTACTTATTGATGGTGAAGTATTTTCCATGATGGTGAAGTATATCTATTTGTTAATATTTTATTTAGAATTTTTTTAATGAAAGATGAAATTTCTCCATAATTATTTTATACACCATCTTTTCAGATTTTGGTATTATATGTGATACTTCATTCCATGATTTGTTATTGATGAATCAGTGTAACAGCAAGAAACAAATATAGACAAATTAATTTCCAGAAAGATTAATAAATTTACCCTGTACAAAGAAGAGTGCAAGGAGTGTAGATTAACCACTAGTTACACTACAGTGCCTTAGCATGGCTAACACACCTAGGTCTGAAGGGGTAAAGGGAGAAATAGTTACCAAGCTTGGAATGAGAGAATAACCTTAAAATGGCCAACTTGCAAAAACCTATCATCTTTAGTAGGGGTCGCAAACAGCCTAAGGTAACTCCTCAGAAAAAGAGCTAAAGATATAAATACTGCAAGTTCACTTTCTTTCCTCCCTCCAGTTTCCTGCTGGGTTTCCCATTCGGCTGAAACACATCCGAAACAGAGTGCAGAGTCCTTCAAGGTAGTACATCAGGGTACAGGGCAGTGAGGAGAAGCATAGAGTAGATCTAGAGGAAACCATGAATGACACAAGCACACACAGGTTTTTAATGTTCTGAGCAAAGTGTATACTGTTGAAATTAGCTATTCCTGGAATATTTAAATGCATGATTTTCAAGCACTTTGTGACTATGGAGAATGTATTTTTAGATAATTGGCATGTTTTTAAAGTTCTTTCCCAAAGATTACATTGGAAAGGTTTTCTACATCTTGAGTCAATTTTAATACTTTTTTCGTAAGAAAAGTTATTCATATCATTGAAATGTTCAAGCTTTAGGCTTTAATGTGCACAAAATCTCTTATGATTTTAATTTATCCTTTATTTAATGCTAAATCCTCTTTCTCATTGCAAACAGTGTATATATCCTTTTTTAGATTTTCCATTAGTTTGGCTTTTTTAAAAAAAATCTAATTCTTGTCTATATCAATCTGTGATTTTTATAATTTTATCTCTTTAATTCTAATTTATATATGTGTGTGCATGTGTTTATGTGTATATATTTCCTTTTACTCAGATTCCTTACGTTTAACATTTTTGTTTTGTTTCTATCTTTTAAAACCGAATGCTTAATACATTTTCTTTTATTAATGTACAAAGCATATAAAAATGTTTACTTAGATTTAAATCTTTAATTCATTTTAAGTTAATTTTTACATATGTTGAAACACAGGGGTCCAGCTTTGATATTCTGCATATGGCTAGCCAGTTATCCCAGCACCATCTATTAAATAATAAGTCTTCTCCTCATTGCTTGTTTGGTTGGTCCTGTCAAAGACAAGATGGTCATATGTACATGGCTATATTTCTGCATTTTCTATTCTGTTCCATTGGTCTTTGTATCTGATTTTGTACCAGTACCATGCTGTTTTGGTTACGGCATTTTTATAGTATAATTTGAAGTCAGGTAGTGTTATAGCTTCTGTTTTGTTTTTTCTTTGTTTTTGTTTTGTATGCTTAAGATTGTTTTAGCTATTTGCATTCTTTTTTGATTCCATATGAATTTTAGAATAGCTTTTTCTAATTCTGTGAAGAATGATGTTGGTAGTTTGACAAGAATAGTAGCAATCCTAGGAGACAACCTAGAAAGTACTCTTCTTGACACTGACCTTGGCAAAGAATCCCAAAAGTAATTGTGACAAAAACAAAAATAGACAAGTAGGTCCCAATTAAACCAAAGGGTTCTGCATAGCAAATATTCAGAATCTATAAGGAAATCAAATCAATGAGTGAAAAACAACCCCATTAAAATAAGAGCAAAGGACATGAACGGACACTTCTCAAAAGAAGGCATACAAACAGCCAACAAACATGAAAAATGCTCACCATCGCTAATCATCAAAGAAATACAAATCAAAACCACAATGAGATACCATTTCACAGTAATCAGAATGGCTAATATCAAAAAGTCAAGAAAACAACAGATGCTGGCCAAGCTGCCAAGACAAGTGAATGCACTGTTGGTAGGAATGTAACTTAGTCCAGCCACTGTGGAAAGCAGTCTGGAGATTTCTCAAGGAACTTAAAACAGAGCTACCATTCAACCCAGCAATCCCATTCCTGGGTGTATACCCAAAGGAAAATGAAATCATTCTACAAAAAGATGCACGTACTTGTACATTCATCACTGTGCTATTCACAGGAGCAAAGTCATGTAGTAAACTCAGGTGCCCATCAATGGCAGATTGGCTAAAGAAAATGTGGTACATAGACAACATGGAGTTCTTCTCAGCCATAAAAAAAAAGCAAAATGATGTCCTTTATAGCAACGTGGATGGAGCTGGAGGCTATAATCCTAAGCAAACTAATGCAGGAACAGAAAAGCAAATTTTACATTTTTGCCCTTATAAGTGGGAGCTAAAGATTGAGTACACATGAACACAAAGAAGAGACCAACAAACACTAGGGCCTGCTTGAGGGTAGAGGGAGAGGATCAAAAAACCACCTCTCAGATACTATGCATCACTGGGTGATGGGATCCATACCCCAAACCTCATCAGACAATATTTCCATGTAAAACACTTGTGCACATGTATCCCCTGTATCTAAAATAAAAGTTAAAACTTAAAAATATATATTTACTTGTGAATAAGTTTATATTTGGCCAAATAATATAAGTTTTGATAGAAATATTTCTTTTTAATCTTTAGTAAGCTATTGACTGTTTTTTGGTTTTTGATTATATAGTAATCTGCAGGGATGTTTTAAGTATACAAATGATTGAAAAAATGTTATCAAAATTTTGAAATCAATCTTTGTTACATTTTAGGTAACCAAGTGCCTACAGGGGCAAATTGTATTGAAAGATTGCACAGAGAAGGCTACCAAAGTAGGAAGAAGGCAGCACTCTCTCCCAGTTGGGAGTGCAGTTTCTGTAGCGTATTAGTTTCCTATTGCTGCTATAACAAAGTACCATCAACTCAGTGCTTAAAACAATGTATAGCAGAGGTGGAGCAAGCTGGCTGAATAGAAGGTTCCACCAATTGTCCCCCTGGAAGGGACACCAGTTTAGCAACTATCTACATTTTTTTTTAAAAGCACCTTCGTAAGAACCAAAAATCAGGTAAGCACTCGTAATACCTGGTTTTAACTTCATATCACTGAAAAAGGCACTGAAGAGGGGAGAAAAGACAAAGTTCTTTGTTAAACAGGTCCTGCTCCCCATGCCACCCAACTGGTGAGACTCTCAAACAGGGATTGTCAGGACCCCTATATAGGAGGGATCCTACCGGCATCAGGTTGGTGCCCCTCAAGGTCAGAGGTCCCAGAAGAGGGAGCAGGCACCCATCTTTGCTGCACACAAGCATCCTCGGTGAAATGTCCAGACACAGGAGTGAATCAGATGAATAAGGCCTGAAGTAAACTGCCAGCAAATGGCAGCAGCCCTACAAAAAAGGGACCTGACTAGTTAAAGGAGAACAAACAAGCAGAAAATGGCAACAACAACAAAAGGCCCCTCAAAAACCCCTCCTGAGAGTCAGCAGCCTCAAAGACCGGAACTGGACAAACTCACAAAGATGAGAAAAAATCAACGAAAAAATGCTGAAAACCCAAAAGGTCAGAGTGTCTCTTCTCCAAAGGATTGCAACATCTCTCCCTCATGGGTGCAGAGTTGGATGGAGAATCAAATGGATGAATTGACAGAAGTAGGCTTCAGAAGATGGGTAATAAAAAACTACAATGAGATAAAGGAGCATGTTCTAATCCAATGCAAAGCTTAGAACCTTGTAAGGTGTAGAGTTTTTATTAGTTTTCTTTTTGCTTGTTTATTTATACAAACAATGTTAAGTGGTTATCAAGCTTAAAATAATGGGTTGTAAGATAGGATTTGTAAGCCTCATGGTAACCTCAAATCAAAAAACATACATTGGATACATGAAAAATAAAAAGCAAGAAAGTGAATCATACTACCAGAGAAAATCACCTTCATTAAGAGGAAGACAGGAAGAAAAAAAAGCAAGGAAGAGAAGACTGTAAATAACAAATGGCAGGAGTAAGTCCTGTAAGGGAAAATAAACCATAAATCTTGGGACCTCAAAATCATTAAGCCAAAGGGAAAATTTAAGCTCGGAACTATGTCAGGCAAACCTGCCTCCCCTTTTATCCCTAAATATGAAAGCTACAAATGTAAAAAAGATGCATACTTTCTCACACTTTGCCCACAAGAAAATTCCCTGTGGACCTCAAGATCTTCACCCTAAAACAGTTCTGTTGAATTTCATCTTGGCAATGTAAATTGATAGCGTATCTTCACATGTTCCGGACAAAGGACAGTGCTGGGAGCCATCCCTCTGCTCACCTGAGACAAATACATATCTGATTTCTTCCTCTGTCCAATTGTTTATGTAAAAATACAGATTCTCTGAGCCAGATTAAGGCGGAAGTGACTATTTCCTACCCCACCCCTCACATATAAACTGTATATTCAGTAAAAAGCTGATCAAACACTCAAAAGAATGCAACCATTTGTCTTTTAGCTACCTATGACCTGACGGCATTCATTTCAAGTTGTCCCGCCTTACCGGACTGAACGGTGTACATATTACACATGTTAATTAATGTCTTACATCTCCTCAAAATGTATAAAATCAAACTGTATCACAGCCACCTTGGCATATGTCGTCGGGGCCTCCCGAGGCTGTCGTGGGCGTGTCTTTAACCTAGACAAAATAAACTTTATAAATTGATTGAGATCTAT